AAAAAAAAAAAAAAAAAGAAAAAGAAAAATCAGTGGGGCAGATTAAAAAAAAAAAAAAAAAAGGATCTCAAACTGATGCTGTTTTGGGAAAAAAAAAAAAAAAAAGTGGTTCGCCTAAGTCACAGTCTTGGAGGTCCTGTTCGGGCCGTCAAGTGGCACAGCTAAGATTTCTGATCGTAATCTGAAACGGAAATAGCTGCTATTTAGGAGACGTAACCGTTTCCACTATCGCATTTTACCTACCCGTAAAATGCAAATTTATCGCTAATTTCAATAGCTGTTTCGTCAGAGACTGTGAGGAATGGGCTGATTAATAAATATACCCTAGAGATAAATTATCCCTTCGAATAAGGTTATCGGCGTTAAAATTGTAAAAGTACTTTCCAGACGTGAAAAATTAGGTATGTGACAGAAAGATAATTAATTAAAGAAAAAATAAAACAGAGACGAAACCGCCGTAGGAGCACTAACTCTTTCCACATTGGAAGAGATGGCAACTTGTCTGAGAAAAATTCGTCACCACGAAAAAATTGCCCTGCAGTTGCTGCCGCTCTGAATTGATAGGAGAAAATGCTTAGTGCCTGTCACCGACGAACAGTGCTGCTGTGGAGTTAATCTTTACATTAAATCTGGGACACATTAACTATTCCGTGGTCTAAAGTCTGTCTCCTCTGCCTTTCCAGCCTTGATTGAATCTGAAGGAAATCAGATGTGCGAGAGTGATCGAAACGTGCTAAGATAGAGGATCTTGCAGGAGTTTAAACGCCGCCGTGGCGGAGATGAGATCGATAGAGGAGAGGAAGGAAGGAAATGGATGCTATCTGTCCGAGGGCGCTCCCGCAGCCTCCTCTCCCGCCCGCCCATCTCCGACGGTACCTTCCGCCACCCCGCTCCGCGCTCCCGCCGCCCGCGGCCGCCGGGCCACACACGCCACCGCCACCGGTGCGACGGCTCCGGCGAGGCCCGCGGGAGCAGGTACCGACCCGCGCCGCCGCGGCCCGGGAGGGGCGCGGAGGAGCGCGGAAGGAGGAGGGCGAGCTCCGTGGCGGCGGGGCCCGGGTGCGAGCGACGGGGAGCGCGGGGGCTTTAGGGCGAGGCTGAGCCACCGGAGAAACTCGGCGCGGGCGCGGAGTGCGGGGCCGGCCCCGAGCGGCCGCCGGGACCTGCCGGCGTAGAGGCGAGCTACTCCGCTCCTCTGCCGGGCTCTCCGCGGCGCAGCGCCGGCGGAGGGCGGCTGCAGCGCGCAGGCAGGGACGGGGACGAAGCGGCGGTGGTGCCGCGGAGGTCCTGCAGAAGCTTCTGGGCACGGGGTTGTTGATCCTGCCCGTTTGTTATTTTTTTCCTTCCCTCTAGAGCCAGCCGCCGCGCGTTTCCGCCGAGGAGACCCTGACCCCTTGCTCCGCACTGCTCCGCATCTCTCCGCGCCGCACAGAGGGGTGCGCGCAGCCTGCCGCTCTACGGCGGATGGACAGATCGCCCGGATTGTTTTTATTTTTAGAAGAATGCCCCTTGTTGTTGGTTTTTTTACTCCTCCTTAGATTTCTATAGGTTATGTGGCATGTTGTTTTCATTTCTTGATTTTTTGAAATAACTATTTGGATTTAAATTTATCGAACAACCTGTTATCCATATGTCTGTCCGATTAATTTTTTTATGGGATGATGAAAGAGAGAAGAATCTATATATAGTGATCTCTAATGGAATAATATATATATCCAAAACACCTTTCTGGGGTTACTTTTATTTCCGGACTTTAAAATGCAGTCTGGGTTTTTAGGCAATTGGTGAGGTAGTGCTTATTTGATGTAGGAGAGTAACATATTTAGACTTCAGGGGGGAAAATATATTGTTTTTCACTAGAAAGATATTTTCCTATCCTCCCTTCGAAAATCTTGAGGTGCATTTACAGAAAGGTTATGGCCATGTTCTCCCATTCACAGTGTGATTTTTGCAAATCTTTATCGAACATTGAAGCCAGACGCCACCAGAGAGTAAAATATCCATAGGGTCCTTTTCCCTTCAAAGACATGATTTTCTGTAACTACCCAGCAGGGATCCATAGAAGCGGTCACTAAGGAAAACATATTTATATCATTAGCCTCTTCTTCCCTCCGCCCCCCATGTGAGCCTAATCGTCTTCACTAAGGAGACGTGGCGTGTAAAACTGACAGCAAGGAGCTGACGGCGGCTAGTCAGTCAAACATTATCAACCCCAAAAAAAATTATAGGCGCAGGTTAGATAAAGTCTGTAAACCCTTTTTCTGTACATCCCAAGTGCACCTTCGCCCTCGTCCCTTTCCCTTGCCCTTGCTTGCGGCTGAGCGTGTGTCGAGAGCCAATTAGCACTGCCAGCTCTCGTATAACAGGGTGAACAGCAAGCTTAGAACGACTGTCCCAGCGATACTGATGACCCTCAAAAGGGTTGAGAGAAGGTTAAGCATGGCTTCAATTTAAAAGAGGCAGGAAAGTCCCCTGGAGCGCTCACGTCCCGCTCCACCGGAGATTCTCCGGCCGGGCTGCTTTCGGCGCTGCCAGGTGGGCTGCAGCCCGAAGGAAGAGATGGCACCAGGGAGCCGGCAGGAACGGTCGCACTGTGCGGCGGCGAGGAGCTCTTTATTGGTTTCCGATGAGAGCAGCCCGGCCCCTGCTCCCACTTGTGTGTGTCGCCTTCCTCGGGCGCAAAACGAGCGCGGCCCACAGCGCGGGGCGCAGGCGACCTCCCGGCTGATCGCACGCCGGGCCCAGGCTCACGGTGCCCCAGGCCGTGGGGAACCCCCTGATATTCGTCCCGGGGTCTGTCCCGAACACACCGCCTCGTGCGCCCGCCCGGGCTTTAGCTTTGCGGCCGAGCCGGAACGAGAGGGAGCCGGGTCGGTTGCCCGACACTTGGACTCCCCGGGTTCAAACTACATAGCTCGACTGACCCCAAAAGAGGCGGATGACGAGGCCGCTCTGTACCCAGCCTCCAGGACCACAGAGCATGCAGCATCCCATTCCGTGCTCCTAGCTCAGGAGCCGAGAAACGAGAACAGGGCTGGGGAAGAGAGGAGAAGCCCCCGCGCTTCCATCGCGCACAGAGCCCTTTGTCGCCTGGAGTGCCCCAGCTTTAGCCTGAACCGCGGGGAGTTTTGTTGCGGTCCAGCCGAAGCCAAGCCCAACCTGCCAGGAGCCGTGGCCACGGCGGCCCTCAAACAGCCGCCGCGAGTGGGGTTAGGGGAGGGCTCATCCATACTGTGTGGCAAGTCTTTCTCCCGCTTCAGCACGGCGGGACGGCCGCGCACCGAGGGAGGCGAAGGGTCCGGGCCAGCCCGCCGCAGCCGCGACGGGCGCGGTCCGCCGGCCGGCGCGGTCATCCCCCGCGGCGGGCACCGGCCCTTCCCCGAGCGCCCGCCGAGCCCCTCGGCCCCGTCGTCCTCACCGGGCGCTACTCCCGCAGCCTCAGGTCTCGTTTTAAAACTTAGGGAAAAAAATAGTCGCTCCCCTGCTGCGGTGTATAAATAAGATCAGTGTACGGAAATAAACGCTCAGCCAACCGACCGGCTTTCCGGACGGATGAAAATGCTGAGGAACTACATTAGAGCATTGAACACACAGTTTAAAGGCATCGGTGTTAAAATTATAAACATTCTGGTGACCGCGTTTTATAGCGCTTATATTACTGTCTTAATTCCTAATTACACAGCCACGAGTATGAATAGTTTTTAAGGAAATCTCCAGCCTTTAATACGCCGCTCCTACTTATATTTATTGTTCGTTTCAGACAAACGATTTTTAAAAACAGCCTTTTCAGTACTCCAGTCACAAAATAAGCATTTACAAACGCTAAATGAAGGTTGAAGAAACCTCTGGCTTTACTTTTTTATTGCTTTCCTATAAATTTAACTCATATTTTCATTATTGTCTCAGGGAAAAAATAAAAACGTGAATGGAATAAAATTAAATCAGGTAGCTTTAAATCACTGTAGTTTGGGGTAGAGTCACTAATTGGAAATATTTACGTTTGCAAAGCTGAGATTTCAGCAGTAAAAAGATACGGTATATCCCCTTCTTATCATAAGTGGGTCTACGAGAACATTTATATCATGCCATTGTAAGAAATTATGTGTAGTTAAACAACATTTTTTTAAGCAAGGTTTGTGTCTTTTTATGGTAACCCTCCGTCTTTAGTCAGAGCTAGTTCTCATATTACATGAAATGTACTTTAAGAAGTACTACCTGCTCCAGCTGTCCAGGAAAAACTGAATTATGGAACTAGGAAACATATGGCAGTTGCATATTGCACGAGTAAGGTACATATGAAAGTTATAAATTTCTTTTTTAAGTAACCATTGTAAACGCATTTTTATAGGTTTCACAGTATGTATTACATCTGTAATTTTAATTTTTGCAATATACCTTTTTAAAGATATCTATGTTTTCTGTACTCTGGGGGAGGAAATGCAAAGCGACATTTACACGTTAAAAAAAAATGCTGCAAGCAAAACAAACAGGACAGGTAAATAAACGGGGAAGCGGAGCTTCCTCACAATGGAAAGGACACTATGCCATCTATTGGCAAAGCGGTTATTTACAAAGCCAAGGGTACCCAAGCCAGTATTTTCTGTTCTTTCAATGGTGTGGCGTGTCCCAGTTGTAGCTTTCGTGTATTGTAACAAATAAATAAAGACATGTCCACGGAGATCCAGGGAATAAGAAATAAATTTAAAAAAAGAAGAGAATGAAAAAAAAAAAAGGAAGAAAGCAAGACAGTTCCTGAATTTATTCCTCACAGATTAGGTCATTAACTCACAGGGGATTTTGCAGCTAATTGCGAACTCCCTTCTTGCAGCGCGCGAGCATGAGAGATTTAACTTTTTCGATTGTTTTATTAGTGAACCTTATCAATGAATGCTTTTTTTTTTTTTTTTTAACTTGTCTTGTTTTCCCCCTGTGTTTTTAATGCAAGGTTACCTAAGGACTTTACGGCCACGAAACAGCCCAGCAGGCTGCTTCGGAAGCTGACCTTGCGGTCTCCGCTCGGTCCGGGCGCTGGGCGGGTGTGACTGCAGGATCGGGCCTCCTTTTCCGCGCCTCGCAGGGCTCCCCCGAAAGGCGAGCCTGACCTGCGAGGCGCTCCAAGGCTCTGTCGGACACGGGCGAGGGACAGCGGCGGGGACAGGAGGTGCGAGGAGCAGCCCCCGTCCTGAGGAACCCGCGGGCAGCGCTTGTTCTCGGTGGCAGAAAAGCTTATCCCGTAGGAGAGAGCCACTAGTGCTTTTCCTGTTTCCAGGAAGGCGAGGGAGAAGATATTCTCTCCATTAGATATAAATAAACCGAAATAATCGGACAGATGTGAAGGGAAGAGTCAATTTTTCCTGTTCCAAGCGTAGACCAATTTCTGAACCAAAGTCCCTGTCTCTCCGTCTTGAACTGGCTTTTTCCTTCTTCCTTCACTTGCTAAGGACTCGACTTTTTCCCTGCCATGACTAGCCCACTACTGCTCGGTGGGAAATACGAGAGCCCTTTGTTTTAACTTTCAACGTTGTAATCTCTCTTTCCCTGTGCCGCAGAACCCAGTTTGGCCCTTTTCTCTTAGATGTGTGAGACGGGGGGCGGGCGGGGAGAGAGAAATTCCTGGAAGCACCTGTATTTCTCAGCTCGAAAGGTTAATCTTTCTCCACACAGAAAAAGAAAAAAAAATCCCTAAAATAAAATAAAAAAAAAAAGACACAATCCTCTCCGTCTAAAACCAGACCCCAGAGGACAGGAAAATATAAAATCCAGACCCTGCACTCATATCTTTTTACCGCTCTTCTCGGTGTGAACGTGTGAGTAGATGGTGTTTTACAAAGTTGTCTGAATTTCATGAAAGGCCGTTCCTGTGTTTATATGCGAAGGGAATTGCACTGTCTCGCTGACTGAAGCGCACCTTCGCCGATTGCTCTTTACCCGAGCAGTGGGACGCGGCGCTGGGAGCCCGAAGGCTTCGCATCGCAGCCTCACGCCCGGATTTTCGGATCAGCCCTGCGCGTCTCTCGCTGCCGAGGGAGGGCAAACACGCTCATTCTGGGGGCAGCACTCACTTTCTGCTTTTTTTTAAATTTCCTCCCTGCAAACGTCCCCGAAGCCCAGGCGAGCCCCGGGCTGGCGGCGGCCGCGTCTGGGGACGGTGATGGGATGGGGGCACCACGCACTCCGGGACCCGCCGCGGTTCCCCGCAGCCCCGTATCCGTACTGGAACATCTCTACGGCCCGCAGCTGGGCTCCCTTGGTTCCAGGTGCTCGCTTTTTTGGGGGCAGTCTGCCTGGGAACGGGGCGGTCGCCCCCCGGCGCCCGGCTGGGACACCAAAGAAGCAGCGGGCGAGCGCTTTATCGGGGAGCTGTCGGAGAAAGACGCAGGCGGGTAGGCTGTAGGGTTAGAAAGGCATCGATGAAGGAAAAAACTGAGCTCCATCTGGGCAGCGGTTTTTGAAGAAGGCATCAAACATGCTTCTCTGCTGTGCAGCCACGCAAGCCGGCTCCCCACGCCGCCCCCGTCGCCCTCTGCAGCAGCCGAGCCCCTGAGCATGGCCCGTTTCACCCTGTCACCTGAACGAAAGGATTTGGCTCGTCAAAATTAAATTCATTCACAATCAGCCTGACGAAAATGCTTTCAGAGTAACATCCAGGAGATCATTTCCCCCGAGTTACCTATCAAGTGTTGCATAAAAGATATATATTTTAAATATATTGTTTTTTCCGATGATGAACTGAAAGGGAAACAGTTATTAAAACTGTGCGAGCACTCAGCTCATAATTACCCGGGGAAGAGAGGAGGCAACGAGGCGCTAGTGGGGGACTCAAGAAAAGCAGGGCTTTAAAATCGCTATCCTTTAAAGTTTGCGTGGGTAAAGTCCCTTGGCGCCTTTTTAGCAATAAACAAATGCCTGTGTGTATATCCAGTC